TGATGTTCAGCAGCTCTTCTGATGCAACGATCACCGTTAAAGTCAGCAGTTACTATGATAAATATGATCTTAGCTTAAACGCACAGCATTAATTCATGTACAAACCACAGACTGGCCATTAATATCCAACACTCTTAAAAAGGCATTTAATCCATTAATGGATATCAGCAACCTATTCTACCACAAACCATCACCTTCAATCTGGATTATTAAATTATTTAGAGTCTCCCAGAGTTTTCTTGATGCCACCTGCTCGCCTGCAGTGCATTGTTAAACATTTCAAACATCAAATTCCCTTTAATAAATACTGACTAACAGCACATGTATCTAGAGTCTGCGTTCATCTGTTAGCGGTATAATATGAGCATGTTACTGTACGTGACTGAAGACAAAGATCTTCACTTTAGACTATATTATAAAGCAATTATGAAGAGCGAATTGTGCACACAGATTGCATTGCTTTTTGTTTGTATTGCTTAGCATCCAATACAAAATTAAAATACAATACAATACAAAATTCAAACCCAAAGGCGTTATTAGGTATAATGGTCATCATTTCATGAATTACTGCCATCAAGATTAGAAAATGCACACAATCATCTCTTGTAATAAACGTTTGTTTACTACCACCAGTTTTGGGGGTAACACTACAAGTAACGTGAGTTATGTAATCAGATTACTTTTTGTCAAATAACTAGTAAAGTAATGCATTACTTTACTAATGAGTTACTTTCTCGAGGTAACGCACGCCAGTTACTTTGTGTTCCCTTTTTTTTTCTTATTCATTTCTCTTTTGGTGTGAAAGGGCTTTAACATTTGCCAAAAATAGAACTTTTTATATTTAAAAACTAACAAGCAAGACCAGCCCAGATGAGAAAAAAGTAACACAAAAGTAACACACCTTACTTTCCTTAAAAAGTCATGCAATTGGTTACTGTTTTAGGGATTAATGCAATATTGTAACGCATTGCTTTTAAAAGTAACTTGACCACCACACATATATAAATATCAACTGTTTAGCATTCTGGTACTGTCTTGTATCTGTGAAGGATAAATGCAATGCTGGCCTAGATACTGATCAAATGAAGTTCGAAGTACGAAGATTTCAGTAGCTTTACATCAAGAGTATACAGTACAGATCTGACTTAAAATGCTTTCTAACAGAGGAACAGAGGCAAAAATTCCAACCAAATAGAGTTTTTAAGAGAGATTCGATGGGCTTGTCTCCTGTAACATCCTCCCTATGTCATTCACACACAAAAACTGTGCCAAACGTAGAGCTTGTGTGCCAAACTGAGCTGTCTGTGTCTCAGGAGAGGCGAGAAACACCCTGGGAGGCATTTCCCAAAAGCATCATCAAGCCTAAAGGAGATCGTAGGAGGCTTGTGAAGCTTTTGAGGAATGCATTTCTGGTGTTTCAGAGTAATTATCAGATTTTACTACTTTCAACTAAAGTCTTTAGGGCAGCAGTTTTCAAATTAGAAAACTTAGGGGGGAAAATCTGGCTAAAAGCTCATTTTACCTCTTTGTGGGCTTCACTGGAAATGCGGTTGGTGTAGCGCAGAACTTCCAGCTCCATGTCAGTCTTCAGCAAACGACCGCAGACAAACAGAGAGAGGGGTAATGATAATCATCATAAAAATATGCATATGAAGATATACAATTTTATACATCAATATGCTACGCATTAAAAAGAGACTTTACCACACTCTCAGAAAAAAAGGTACAAAAGCTGTGACTGGGGCGGTACTTTTTCAAAAGGTACACTTACAATATGGACTCTTTAGGTACAAAGGTGTGCCTTTTGAAAAGGTACCGCCCCAGTGACAGTTTTTGTACCTTTTTTTCTGAGAGTACAGGGCTGTTCTCAGTCACTTAAAAACTGTTCACAGACACACATATACTACTGTTCAAAAGTTTGAGATCGGTAAGATTTGCTCACCACGGCTGCATTTATTTGATCAAAAATACAGTAAAAATGTGAAATTATTACAATTTAAAACAGCTGTTTTCTATATGAATATCTGTTCAAATGTAATTTATTCCTGTCAATCAAAGCTGTATTTTCAGCATCATTACTCCAGTCTTCAGTGCCACATGATCTTCAGAAATCATTCTAATATGCTGATTTGTTGCTCAAGAAACATTTCTGATTATTTCTGATCGTGCTGCTCATTTTTCAGGAAAGTTCGAAACAGAAATCTTCTGTAACATAATACATGTCTTTACTGCCACTTTTCATCAATTCAATGCAGCCTTACTGAATACATTTCTAATAAATTTCGTACTGACTTCAAACATACTGGCCAGAAAGTTGAATGAAGAACAAACTTCTCTGATAAAGTTACAGTCCTAAACTTAGCCTAAACCCAGCAGGACTGACGTCAGAGAAATCAGCACTTTGTCACTCGTTAGTGTATTTTTCTTCACCTCCACCATCTATTCCTGATCGAGCGTCTTCGTTTATGTCTTAATGCTGCTGCCTGCATTACTGAAGCAACTTGACATCACCTCCTATGACTCAGTGTGAATGTGCCAACTTTCTAACAACACATCTAAACATATCACTGCACACACTCACACACACACACACACACACACTGCAGTAACCCATGGTTACGATCTGCCACCTGATTCTTATCAGCAGCTCCATAGCACTGAACACTTAACACACGGATCACTTACACCAGGAATTCTCTCTCTCTCTCTCTCTCTCTCTCTCTCTCTCACACACACAATCGCAGAGAGACATTCACACACACACAGGTTTGTTTTGTGAAAAGTGGGGACTCTCCATAGGCATAATGGTTTTTATACTGTACAGACCGTATATTCTATTGCCCTAC